AAATTAGTAATATTTACATTAATAATACTAATTAGTCATTATGACGATAATAAAGGTGATAATAACAACAACATTAATAGTAATATTTATTTTAACAAATAGTAATAATACTAGTATGGTAATAATAACGATATTTAAATATCAAATTTAATAAATTATTAGTGATAATAACGATATTGAAGGTGATAATAGCAATAATACAACAATAATAAATTAAAGATAATGTTTATTTTTATAATAATAGTAATACTAATTAGTAGTAATAATAATAATGATACTTATGATACTAGGCCTACTTAGTAATAATAGGGTAATAATATCGATAATAAAGGTGACAACAACAACAACAACAATAATATTAATAATAATAATATGAGAAAAATACTAATAAAACGCCAATAACAACAACTTTTTAAATTAATATTATTAAAATTATAATACTAAGACTAGTAAATAATAATAATAATAATATGAATAATAATAATAAAAAATCGAAAATTATTAATTATTTATATGGTACTGTAATAATAATATCAGCAAAAATTGAACAATATATAATGTTAATGCTAAGACTAATAATTAATATTAAAACTATGACAACAATAACAGCAATAATAATAACAATTAGTACAATATAGTACCAGTAAATGACTTGTGGCCGAGTTGACTTGTGGCCGCGAGTTGATTTGTGGCCGAGATGACTTGTGGCCGAGTTGACTTGTGGCCGAGTTGACTGTAGCCGAACTTTTTGTGGCCGAGTTGACTTGTGGCCGAGTTGACTTGTGGCCGAGTTAACTTGTGACCGAGTTGACTATGGCCGAGTTGACTTGTGGCCGAGTTGGATCGAATTCAATTGCCCACCAGTGCATAGACCTACCTAGCTAGAGTCTAGAGACTAATTTTCGCCTAGATTTAAAAAAAATCTATATTGTAAATGGATTGTTACTTTTTAATTTTATACAGCTCGATTGAAATATATCTTGCAGTCATTAAAACAGTTAGGTCTACCACAAAAGTCTTACTGTTTGGAGACATATAGTAACATCACGGAGCCGTAAACTTTCAGGTAACTCAGTTCGAGCATGACGACTTGTACTTGTACCAACTAGGCCTAAACGCTTGAGTTCCACCGCACATGTGTAAAAAAAATTAAAATTAGTAAACATGACGTTTGACATTATTCTAAAATATAATTTGTTGTGTCGATTTTGGAATGGATAGAAACAACAATTTATATTACTTAAATAATAAGAATAATATAAGTAAAATAACAGTTATTTAATAATGATATTTATATTTATTTATTAGGAATTATTTATTATATAAAATATATGTGAAAACAGATTTGGTTGATTAAAAAATGTCAAATGTTAGTTGCTATGAACGCTGGGAATAATAACTTTTCGTTTGATTATCGCTGACTGACGGATTTTGTGCTTTCTACAATTTTGCTCTTTCTTAGGTAGTGTGAAACACGAGAGTGTTGTTGATATATTAGCTCATCTCAGGTAATGTTTCATTGATCGATACACTTGTTTACGTATCGTACATTAGACTAGAGCCTAGGCTAGGCCAACACCACCACCAGGCCTACCTTCTGGAAATAGCTTACACAGCCTTTTCTACAGTAGGGCCGGGGCTAGCGAGGTGAGGACTTAACTAGGCCTAGGATAGGGCATAGAATAGTAGGCCTAGCCAGGAATAATAATAGTCCCTTCATTTATTGAAAGAAGCAGGTAGGCTTTCTCATCTAGCTTCATCATCATCAATTAATTAATTTAGGGACACAAATTAATATTGTTGAATTCTCCAGCACAACACAAAACAAATTAATAAATGTTTAAATTGTGATTAAATTATATTATTGTCTTTTTTTTAATAAGTGTTTTTAATAGTTTTTAGGCAATATTTGTCACTTGAACTTGACGTGATATCCAGAATACAGCTGTACATTCTTTCTTCCTTTTTTTATTTTATTGTTTACATTAAAATCTGAGAAAAGTATCTATTTTTCTAAAATCAGTTCACACACCAGAGTTCTGTTCTATGTAGAATGATGGTGTTGACTTGTATAAATTTCATAATGAGTATGTATTAGTATGTGCATATTTATCACATGTTGAATTTTAACCTACTTACTTTAAGAATGATAAGATAAGGCCCTCCAAAAACATACAGTAAAATTTATTTTGCACAATGCTTCGGGGATTTTTGGGGGCATACAGTATAACATTCTAATATGCTACCCAAATGTGAATGGTATTTCTTAAAAGAGGGGCCAAATAAGATACAGCTTTGTAAAAATCGTACAAAGTTAAAGAACCATATACCAAAATAAAAAAGGGGATGTGATACCTAAATTTCAAAAGGTCATAACTTAAAAACCACTTGAAAATTGAAGCTGAAATTTTGGATTCTTTCTTTTGGCATCAATGTATAGTTAGATAGAATTTTTTAAAGGAAAATCCAAGAGGGTTACATTGGAAATTTTTAATTTCTGGCAGATTTGAGACGGAATGACCCAACAATAAAACAAAAACAAGGGAACAAATTTAAATAAAAACTGCACAGTTTGTCATACTAAGAAAATTAAACCAATATCTGAAGAGTAAATTATACATGTTTATGTATAATTATGATAATTATAGTAATCCTGTACATTCGTCAAAAATTAAAGAAAAGAAGGAATGTAATTTATAATTAAAATAAAAAATATTTAATATTATTATTATACATTAAAAGGATTATAATATAAAAATTCATGTACAATCTTAAAATTTTAAAAAGTATGGTATTGGTATTCATAAATAGTTAATTTACAATCATCATAGAATAAAAGGTAAAATTAATTTCTAGTACAATTGTCAAATACAACATAAATAGTGTGGATTAAAAGATATGAAAGATAATGTACAGTCATCATACATAACAAAATGAGGAAATATGTAGTATTTGATAATTATATATAAAAATAGAATAAATAACCCAGACATTAAAAAATAAACAACATCAATACAATAAAAAGTAAAATAAAACAAAATTAAAAAGGAGATAATAACAAAAAATATTTTAAAAATTGATCCAAGAAATACCCATTAAAAATATTATATTTTAATCCTCCATCTGCCCATTTTGTAGTTCAAGTTCAATCCAAACCATCGGTTCAACAAGTTTGTGATTTTCATATATCTATAGGCTACAGCACAGAAATTTGGTCACACCTTGGAAACAGAGCTGAAGGTCTTTTTGAGTCCAGCTTTCCTCTCATACCAGTCAGGAAGTGAAAGCCTTGCCTTTATTGGATATGGGTATATTTGATTTCTTTTCAAATCTGTTTGGTTCTAACAAAAAACAAGCACAGGTGTTATGCATTGGTCTTGACAACAGTGGCAAAACAACCATCATCAACCAGTTGAAACCAAAGGATGTAAGTACTCTACAAGAATGCAGGCCTTATAGTTAGGCATAAATTACCCCTTTATATATTGTATTAAACAAATTTGTTGTTAATTTTGGCAGATAATACTGTAGCTGATAGATAATAGGAAGCATTTGATTCGTTTAACGACGCATCGCTAGAATGGAATCACTCATGAGTGACTGTACTGCCATTCGTCCTACGTTCTCTGCATACATAGATTTGGCCAAATGCATCCTAGAATCCATGCGACGAGGAGAGCTTAATGTTCTCGCATGCGCATATGACATTTAGTGACGTCATTACGTTCTACGCCCTACCGTCGCTGATGCAATCGAATGCTCCCTAGTTAGCTGATGAAGCAATTAAAATTGGATTCAATTGAAGAAGCCATTAAAATTATTAAGTTACATTATATATTACCTTCGCACCATGGTAGTTGGCAGGTAAAAAGGTACAATGATGATCAGAGGTGAAGCTGCTAGAGCTGAAGCATTCTAGCATGTAAATTTCATCATCTTCGGTGGCGGATTCAAATGGGTGGGGCTGCCAAATTATTTTTAAAATGGAGAAAAAAGAAAACTTTATTCAAATTTATGCCTGAAAGTGCCATTCCGGCCATCTAGATGTGTCATAATCATACATTTTCACCTCAGTCCCAACATGGTCAGGCTAAAGTGGTCTAGACCCTCCATCTGCAAAAGTCCCTCCCAAGGCCCCGCTCTATTTAAAAATTCTGGATCCGCCGCTGATCTTGATTTTGATGTGTCATTGTTTGAAATTGAAACAACACTCAATCTGAGGTAGAAGGTGTGAAGGGAGACATACAGTAGTCAAGTCTCTGCTGCTGTAGTATTCACTGCAAGTTGGAAGGTGGTGTGGTTTATCAAAGTGGGTTTGCTTGAAAACAGAGGTTGGCCAAACCTTTAAATCCCTGGTTACGGACCTGTTTTTATGTTGATTGAGGAGTAATCATAATGGTGGGAATGACTCAAAATATACCAGTCGATCATGTATAACCTTATCTTGAGTTCACGCTGTTAATGTATCATGACAGTACAATATATCCTGTGTAGTTGTGGTTGAGAGCCTATAGTATTAATCCCGAAATTCTTCTTTGTACAGGCTCAAGCTGAAGACATAGTCCCTACAATAGGATTTACTGTTGAGAAGTTCCGCTCGTTGTCAGTTAACTTTACGGTATTTGACATGTCTGGGCAGGGCAAGTACAGAAATCTGTGGGAACATTACTACAAGTAAGATGAACATACAGTAGATAAAAATCCAATAAAACTACTTCTTGCGTGTAATTAATATTATTATTAATTAGCCATTCTTTGTTAGAATATTCGGCTACAGGGACCAGCGTACCTAGTATGGTACAAATGAAATTCCTATTGCTTGTGTTGCATTTAATTTTAAAGAGAAATTTATTAGCTGTATGGCCTTCAAATCCCAGGTCCTCAATTCAAATTCTACGAAATTCACTTGATAATAAACTAAATTTAGAGAGTATCTGCCATTTATTTCATTCTCAATTTACCTTACCATATCTTGCAGATAATCAATCTCTATTTGTTATAATTTTTTTAAAATTTATTGTGTTATACTACTGTCTGCATTTGCCTTTTGTTGCATGTGCTACATTTGCTAGTTTAGATTAAGTACTTCATTGTGGTATACAGTGTTAATTTCCCCTTCGTTGACTTCCATCTCATTATGAATTACAAATTATGAATTAGTTTTTCCATAAATTTAGAGTAAGTTACTCAGTATTAAATTGCACTGAAAACAAAAGTTATTATACAAAATCTCTTCTTATGAAAGTCATAAATTAACAGTCACAAATTGTAATATATAGTATAATGTGTATAGTTGTTATATAGAATTTATATAACAACTATACAATTTTACAACTACTGTAAATAGAATTGTATACATACAAATATAATGGTATTACTGTATAATGACTAGTAAGAGTACATGTATGGTGTTTAAATTCTTTTATGTGTTTATATTTTTTAAATTTTATTTTATTATTATTTTTTTTTTATAAATATTAATTTCACCTATTATCATTAAGTGATCTTGTGATTTAATCTCTTTCAGTTTGTGCCATATTTTGTTTCATCCCACTGTATCAGTTTTCTTATAAATCAAATAATTTGCAAGTTACTGTTTCATTAGGTTTTGTTTTTTTCAAATATTTAATTAATTTTTCCTTATTTTTCAGAGATGCTCAGGCCATCATATTTGTAGTAGATAGCAGTGATAAACTTAGAATGGTGGTAGCAAAAGAGGAGCTTGAGATACTCTTAAGCCATCAAGGTTAGCATTACCATGAAAGCCATCTTTGATCATGAACGTACTAGCAGGGGCCATTAAGATATCTAGCTTTATTCGTTGAATTCATTTTCTTTTAAATTATTTAAATTAATTCCTCATCCTGTTTGTTGTTGAAATGAATGATTTTCAAGGGAGAGGTAATCAAATTGTTTGATTGAATACAATGTATTTACTCATAAATATTCATTCATGGTGTACTGTTTCTATAGAAATTAATTATTTTACATGACAACCATTAACAGTTGCTCATAAAATATTCAATAAAATAAAAAAAAATGTGATATCTCTTGAATAATTTATCAGATAAAAAATATCATAATCAGAAACTGGCAATATTAACTTTTTATAATCAAGAAAGTATTTTATAAAGGCTTAATGTTATATGCCTTTGGTACTATAATTTGTTTGTCCCATGTTCCCAGCTAGAACAATGTGTGGTTGTCATTTATGTAGTAGTAGTCTTCAAATGTGTAATGCTTGTTTCTCTAGTCATAGACCAGATCTACAAAAACAACAAAATATCAACAAGAATCTCATTCATATTTTGTAACTTTTCAATCCTAGTTATGCTATGATTTACCAAAGCATAAACTAACAAGAGCAAATGGAGATGTAACTTGACGGTTAAAGATTTTTGTGTCCTGGACTCAAATCCTGTGTGACCAGAGTTTTGTTTTGTTTTGTTTTGTTTTTTTTCACGACAAAAAACACATCCACACCCTAAGCCTTGTAATAATATTAAATATTAATTTATAAACTTAGTGGCAATTGTCACATTGGATTGTCTGCCTGCAATTTTTGTATTTTTTTGTAGCTATCTCATCACGTTGCATCCCGGTGCTGTTCTTCGCAAACAAGATGGACCAGCGTGATGCGGTTTCTTCCGTGAAATGCTCCAATATATTGGATCTGGATAAGATTAAGGATAAGCCGTGGCATATCTGTGCCAGTAATGCATTGACTGGCGAGGGGCTTCATGAAGGGATCCAGTGGTTAACAGGTAAATCTAAAGCTCAGTCCATATTATCAAAAACTGTTGTATGCCCATATATAGTCATGATGTGCCTATATATGGTCAGGATGTGGTGTCATCATGACATATTTAGGCATGACACATAAAATTTGATAGTGTGGACAGAGTATTACTAGTCTTTAATTAATGTTTTCAAATCGTCGCTCACATCACGACTTAACACAATCAAAGTAGATTGTGTTAGTTTGTGAAATCAAGAAAATGCTTCAAAATACGCGCTGCTGTTGTTAAGGACTTTTTGCGTGGTAAAGAATACAAAATCCGCTTAACAAACAATACACGCTCGTTTTGACGTTCGTTTTGTGATTTCACGAACTAACACAATCTATTTTGATTGTGTTAGTTCGTGATGTGAGTGACGAAATTTTCACATACTGTGCATTGATATTTGTTGTGAAATTTGTTTTAAGGATTTGGCTGGCTAAACTAAAACTGTTTAAGAGAGGTATCAGTAGTGGATCCAGGAATTAGAAATAGAGGGGCCTAGGGAGGGAACTACAACTGTTTAAGAGAAGTATCAGTGGCGGATCCAGGAATTTGAAATAGAAGGGCCTGGGGAGGGAATTTTACAGATGGAGGGTCTAAAGTATCTCAGCCCACATGTAGTTGGGGTTAAGATACAAAATTGTATGCCTATAGCACCTCTACATGGCCGGAAAGGGCACTCTCAAACTTAAATTTGCAGCTCTCTCCCCCTTCTTGTATCTGGGAAATTTTGTATAGATTTTATCATAGAACTCGAGAGTGTAGATTGGTCCACTACACTTTGTAAATTCTTAATAGTATGACAGTACAATACAGATACTCAACTAATGGGTTTTTTTTTTCTCCAGATCAACTTGGAACTCAACGGCGGTGAACGTGCAAGCAATAGCTCTTGAAAATAATGGATCATTCCAGACATTATCTAAAGCCAAGTACTGTACACATTTGGTGTGGTTACACATGACAGAATAATTCCACAATATATTATAAGCTTTTTATTTCTTGTACATCTCACACTACATAACAACAAAACTCATAATTTGTTTTTAATTGATGCTCCTTCATTTAACTTATTTGTGGAGATTTATAACAGCGTATACATTTTGAATGATTCATAGATTTAACGGTCTAAGGTTCATTTGATTTACATTTCCATTCAGACTTAAAATATTAAGTGTTTTGAGAGCTTCTAGAAGCCCTAGGCCACTCGCGGGACTCGCCACATCCAGCTCTAAGGCGATCTCTGTTGATTTAGAGGTACACATTGAGCGTAAATACTGTCATAATAATTTTGCAATTTCTGTATGAAATATTAAAACTATTGGACAAACTTAAATTGCTGAATTGTAGAAAAAGATGTTTCTTTTGACTACGATGGCCAATGAGTCAGAAGAACATTTGTATGTCTAGGGCTAGGCTTGTGTTCATGCAACTAGGCTATACAAACATGTTCAAATTTTCCATCAGTTTGTTTCACTCTGTTCCAAATCTAACAGGTCAAAATTCTGATGTTTATTAAATATTTACCAAGGCTTTTTGATAGGTTATTTTGACGATAAATTTAGAAATATATATGTTTGAGGAGTTTTAGAACTGTCGAAATTTATTCGAGCGGAGCTTGTTATTGTGCAAAAAAACTGCCGTCTAGCAGTTTGTTTTGATGCTATACCCACTATAACCTTTTTGTTTTGGTGACTAATTTAAAAGTCTATTAAAAGATTATTTTTGGGAATGAAGTTTGATGGTCTTGAAAAGCTTTAGTCTTTAATTAGAAAAATAAAAGATATATGTTCATCTAGGGCCACAGAAAAGTGGTTTTTAAGTACAGGGAGACCTGTAATTCGAATATGAATAATGAATTAGTATATTTTTTCAAGAAGGTTGTAGATAAGAACATGTTGATGTACCCTTAAAGAATGCAGTAATATAATTCAACGATCAAATTGGTGTTACTAAGAAATTTTAAAGCAGTAGAGATTTCATGATTTATGAAGATTGTTTTTTACAATTAATTTCTAAAAATGTACTTAATATGCATAAATCTTAAATTTGCAATAATATGGACTATATTAAGATATTTTAAAAACTGAATAAAGAAAAAGTAATAGGTAATAACTCTTTAAATTCACGAAGGCCTAGTTCAGACCAGGTGGATAAACCCGGCTCAACTCACTGGGTTTATCCACATGCCAGTCTGGACTAGGTGGCTATCTCAAGCCGGGCTGTGTTCCTATAGTAACTAGGCCTGGCGTGCCACCGTGTTTAACTTTTCTAAGCCGGGCTTTAATCGCTGCGGGGGGTCTTGTATTTTATAATACATTGTGTATATTTTGGCGTGATAAATCTTCTCTGATTGGCCAATTTACGAGATGGCTATTCCAAAGAATGAATTATTTATCAATAGCCAATCAGAGAATTGCAGATTTACTGATGAATAACTTTAATCGCTACGGGGGGGGTCTTGCATTGACTTCCAGTAAAAAAATGACCAATCAGCATTCAATTACGTACGCTGTGAGCGAGCGTACGTTTCGAGCCCAATGTTTCCAAACTCGTTTCTTGGTTACAGTTCATTATGCTAATTCTCGCGCCTGGCTAATCCCGCTAGTCTGAACGCCCGGCAAAGCTAAGCCGGGCTTAACGTTGAGCCGGGCTTAACTCAAGCCTGGCTTATCTCCAAATCTGAACTTGCCTGAATGTTTATACATAGATTCAGTGGCATTCACTCCCCCACCCCCCTGAGTCACAAGAAAAAGTAGTGAACCTCAGCCACACAGCTATTGTCCATGTGTCATATCTAATGATGTTAAAAACAAAATTGATTTTGTTGATAAATAATCACCTTGAGACAATGAGGTTTAAATCCTTATGATAACGAGATTTCAGCTCGTTTTTAATATTTGTTTCGTACATTGCTGACGATCTTGCCTAGGCCCTAAGCTCCTACAACTGTTTGGCTTGAGATAGTACTTAATATCTTGATTTTTCCTGTTTTACGACGGGCAGTTAATGATCTTATGTTAATCATGATCTTAGATTGGTCTGAACTGTAATTTGGTAATATGTTTAAGATATTCAACATAGTATCGACACTTTTATTATTATTATTATTATTATTATTATTATTATTATTATTGTTATTATTATTATTATTATTATTGTTATTGTTATTATTAAGCTGTATTTTAATGTTTATATCACCTTGCTGAATAAATAAGTGTTTATAAATTTATCCTTGCGGGCACAATTCCAGATGGTTTAATTATTTACTTATAGTAAACCCAGTATCTATGTAATTTTTTAAAATTATATTGTATAAATGATATTGATATTATTATATGTTTATAGTTCATATAGTTTCTCCTTATTTTATATTACATTGTGTATATTTTCGCGTGATAGAGCTTCTCTGATTGGCCAACTTACGAGATGGCTATTCCAATGAATGAATTATTTATCAATAGCCAATCAGAGAATTGCAGGTTTACTGATGAATAACATGCCTTTATAAGATGTTTAAAGTCATGTTGAAGACTGATATTTTTGATAAGTTGATTTACAGTATTTTTTAAATGATTAAATTTGCTGTGAAGATTCATTTATTTTGAAAAGATAACAAAATATGAAAAGAGGGGTATAGAGTCCTTCAGTTAGGTTGAGAGAAATCTGGCAAGAGGCATTATTATACTGAAGCAAACTACAGTAAATCATTTTAATGTTGTGTCGCCTGGGCTTCAGTTTTTTAAACTAGGCATCAAAATCACCTTGATTAAGCACTCTGCTGATTTATGAACCGTGTGTACACCAGTGACTGGTTGGTGAGGGGTGCTGGAGCCCAGTCGGCCGACACCACGACGAGGTCATCAGACTAAATGAAATAATCTGCCTAATATATCAACATTATTTTCATTGCAAAATCCCTAATATTGTGGTCTAAAAGCACAGCCATAAGAATTTGTGAATCCTACCAGAGATTTTTTTTCCCGTTACCCTGACTGAGGCTTGAATCCCCGGTCAGACATGTAGGGCCCCGGCCAGCACATTTCTTGAACCACCACTGGTGTACACAACATTCTGATCTGCAGTACAGAAATTTCTTAACACCTTGTACAGCTAGTAACCAAGTTTTTGAAACCATGATGTAGGAGTATTATCATTTATCAGAATGAAAAGTAGTTTGAATAAACAGAAACAAAACAGAATTTAGACTCTTATATTGTTTTTGAGGACTGGCGTGGGCGCCATGATTTGCGCGACCGGGGTGGCGGAAATATCCTGCAACAGTTTAAGTATGGTCGGGCGTAACTTTTCGAAAATGTTCCGGGCCGAGGGAAATCCTCCCCCCCCCCCCAAAAAAATATGAGGATTTAAGGGTTTCAAAGCCTTATTTAATCGATTTTAGGGTAACTAATGGGGGGGGGGGGGCCTATATGTGAAAATACAATAGAGTAATTTTTTTCCCGTCGTCTTTAAGATTTGTTTTTTTGCTCCCCGACCGGGAGTGGTGGGAGGATCGAGGCTAAAATATTATTAAAAATATAGGCGTACCGTTTGTAGAAAAATCTGAAAAACCTCTCAAAATTCAATTTAAAAAATTGATTACCAGCCAAATGGGGTCATGCAAAATCTATTAATTACTGTACTACCTATCGGTAGTAGTTTATTGAAAAAGGGGGATATTTTCCCATTCCAAATGTATTCTTACTTTAATTTTAATAATCTACACAAGTTCAATCCTGAGCACTCGGGAAGTTGGAGTAGGAGGCTTGTATTATTGTAAATTAGATGAACATTCTTCAATAATGATAATTATCATTTGGATGTTCATCTGATCGTACTATTTAATAATTTTAATAAACTATCCCTACTGTAATATAATAATCCTACTCCTTAATTTTGACTTTGGCATATTTTTTCTTGCTGCCAGCCCTCCCACGTGGTGGTCAGTAATTTATCTCCCTCCCCTTTCCACCCCTGCTTTTATATTGAATTTTAATCACTATAACAACTCCCTGTTTTAATCCATACACATATTTACATACGTCATTTCTCTATTCGTACATCCAAGACATAGGATGAATAAATACTGTAATGAAAATTTTAATTTTCACATACAGTAGACGAAAACAGAACTGTACTTTCAAGGATTACAGTACAGTACTGAACTACATCTGCATGGCGGTCTTACAGCAGGGAGCTATATGAACTCAGAGAGGAGAGAGGATCAGAGAGATAAACCACTTTGCAACGGCAGAGGGCGTTTTGTGTTTCTAACGCGTTGGTCACGTCTGCGAGTTATCCGATCGGGGAACAAAATGTCTCTTGTTGAATCTCGTGTTACAGAGGTCGAAAGACCTGCTGACAAACCAGTTGATCGTGAAAAGGTACTGCTTTGATTTATATTTACATACTGATCTTGTGTTAGTGCTGAAGTTTAGCTAATTACTTGGTAAATGTTGGCTAGGCCTAGGCCCACTTACTCTAGCCTAGCCTAGCCCATCCATGGCACGGCTGCCTACAACCGCGGTGTGAATGCCTCGACTTGTCCTGTGGACAATGCCTCGACTTGTCATTGATCAAGCGGAATGACTTGTTCACGGCGAAACCGCTCCTACACCATCGAGCGTACTATAACCAGGGAGTTGCTATAACTAAGCTTAAATATTTGGAGTTGTTATAAAGACGTTGTTTTACCGCTTTTTTTTTTAGTGCTGTCCTTTATTGTTACGTGTTTTCTGTAACAGTGGTCGTCATCATCGGGTGGATGATTTTAGCAGAGGTTTAGTGCCATCAAATGAACTTCAAATTTACACATGGTAAGTAAAGACTAAATTGCAATCCATATCCATATTTTCTTTTTACAATACCATGTAATCCTAACCATACAGTATTATCACAAACATTAAACAATCCAGAAGTCTTTATTTAGTCCACTTTAACATAATAAAGATTTACAGTTACTTCAGGAACTTCATAACCAAAGACTTTATTTTGTCTAGGATGGATGCCACATTGAAAGAACTCTCCAGCTTGGTAAAAGAAGTCAACCCAGAGGCACGCAAAAGAGGGACATACTTTGATTTTGCCATTGTTTCACCAGACACCAGGCGTCCAGTCTATCGGTTACGAGAGATCGGTGTCACATGCTCTGGACGCAAGGGGCCAGATGATAATTACACCCTTGCTCAAAAGAACTTTGTAATTGGAGATTATATTGATATTGCTGTCAGTACGCCTCCAAGAGGGGGTGTTGGTGGTGGTGGAGGACCACCCAGGCGTGATCAATGGGGGCGATGAACTGAAAAAGATGTATAAAAGGTTAACCTAGAATGCTAATCAAAGCAATAGATACTCCTAAGTCTGGGTTTTACCTCATCTTGCCTTCAAAATTACCATTCCAAATTTACATAAGGGTCTAATGAAAAGGTACAAAAGCACTACAAAGGATTTATTTGGCTTGTTGATTTAATAAAAAAAATTTGCTCAAGAAATGCCAACAACAGATTAATAGCTGCTTTTGCCAGTCATAGCAGGCATTGTGTGATTTTGAGAGTTATTTATTTCCATCTCCCTTTGTTTAGCACTTGGTATGTTTTTATAAGAGTTATGCAATTGAACAAATATATTGCTGAAGTATACTGTAAAAGCCAAGTACTGTAATGTTTCTCTCTGTAAGATTTGTACCCATTGAAGGCAAGATTTCAGCACACCTAATCATCCATTTAACAGGATAAACAATTACAAATTTTTATAGAAAGAAGACAAATAAAATCAACTAGTAGTAAACAGACCTTTATTTTGTGATTCTTATCTAGGCCGACAAATGTTGACTTTCATTTCTTAATCAACTGTCCATATTATTGCTTTAACCCTCACACTAAAATTAATCATGTGCATCATTTGTCTAGTTTTTGAATTTGTTGTATGTAATTTTGAGTGGAATAAACATTTTTACAATTTTAAGCTATTGTACTGTCCTTTCATTGTTTGTATTGTCATCAATTTTTAATCTATAATTTATATAGCAGATGTTACATTGGTCCTCATACGGTCAGCAAACTAACCCATAAATTGCCACTCCGCTAATGGTATTGCTTTGTAATTATAATTTGTTTCTCCTTGCATGTGCCCCTTCTGGGCCATGATCTAAGATTGTATATTTTCCCTTATTGTTTTATACAAAATAAAGTGATATTAATAACGAGTACTGTACTTAAAAAAACACCATAGCCAATGTCCATTCGAAGGATAACACAAGAACACCAAGTTCATCCTTGCATCCCCATTGTCATTAATTTAATAAAAATCCTAAAATTAAAGTAAATACTGTAGATGAACATATATTTATTTTCCATGATGCTTGACTATTTTGTGGATCTGATGAATAAAGAAACCCTCAAAATTCAGATTAAAAAAATATTTCGCTCAAGTATGAAAATAGCAATTCCAATGAGACAGATTAAAATAACTGTTTTTGTTGGTTTATTAATATTTAAATAAATAATGTATGTCTAAATATAGAGGGGTATTCAAAGTGCCTCCACACACATGGCAATACCCATGCCCCCACCAATACACAATGCTGCTATGCCCCGCTTCTTATTGGTCCTCTTCATTTGATGCACAAGTGTAACAAGAATACGAGCTCCCGACGCCCCAATCGGGTGTCCTAGGGCTATTGCACCGCCGCATATATTAACCTGAAATGCAACGAAATAAAATAAAATGGTTTATAGGCATGATTAGAGATTAACTGTTGCAACAGACATATGCTTACTTTGTTTTCTCCAATTCTAGGCCTACTGTTGTGCTTTATGTGTGTATTGTGAATATATGTGTATGCCATTTGGCTACATATTAAATAGTAAATAATAATAACTTCGGGAATGTCAACCAGAAATAGTTGACATCCTAAACACATCTTGAATAGATGGATCTACATGCTCCTAATCCCTTAAAGGGGGTTATCTAAAATAGCCAGAGGTCCAGGGGCATATTTGCACCTTGATGGTGTCCAGAAAGAAAAGGACCCCTCTGAAGCTGAAGCATTCCCGCATGTATAATATGGATTAACAGGGGGGGAGTTTGAACCTTAGAAAAAATGCGATTACAGACCCAATCTACACCAACAAGGTATCTCATAGATGATGAATGTATGCACCTACAAACACATCCTACCTCTGCATACTCATAATATACTTAAGCAAAGCCTGGCACACATTCTCACCTTTATAGGATCCAACGAAAGATCACGGATGACAGCAATTGATTGAGCAGCAAAAGCTTCATTTAATTCAAACAGATCAACAGAATCAAGATCCCAACCTGCCTTGCTTACCTATTAATCAGAGAGATATATCAAATTATTCAGAGAAAATCTTTGTAAACTTCATTTATTTAAAGTCTGGTTGCTATAAATCACTACATGCCAATGCTGACAACTTTCATCGATGCTGATAGGTGGGTAGAATCATGGACCATTCCTGATTGTATCAGGAACAGTGACGAAGTGTAGCAATTGCAATGAAAACCTTGTAACAGTTTAGCAATTTTATGAAAAAATGCCTTACCATTCAGTCTAACATGAAAGGAAAGATCAGATATTGATGTGATGTGTGATGTCATCAGTTGTGTCCCTTATGACTCCAAAGGTTATATGACGATGTATGGGATACATATGTAACATGATGTCTCACCAATAAGCCAATTTGTAATTTGAACTCTGCATCCCTGTATCAAAATCAATCGACATAAACAAACATACACACAACATAAGTTTATGTCGACTGACCTTGGATATGGGCATGTGCAGTTCAAACTACGAATTGGATGAACATAAATAGGATGTAGGAGTTTGTAGGAGCATTTGGCGCAGCAGTTGCTGTTCCGCTTCTCAACCTTGAGGTCAGAGGTTCAATCCCTCACTGTGCATTTCACAGTGTTCTTAGGCAAGGCACTTTACCTACGGTTGTCTCTCTCCACCCAGGAGTACAAGTGGGTGTTTGGTAGGTTCAAACACAAAATGCACTTATTAGTGCTGCAACATTATTGAATTCTCCCCCGGGGAGTTGAGTGTGAGTTCCATATGTGCTTGATCCAATGACCTGGGGTAATAATGTGAAGTGCTTAGAGGCACCTGTGGGCATTAAGCGCTATATAAGTCTAACATATTATTATTATTTTTAGATACTGTATACTCTAAAATCTGTATTGTTTAGGTTTTTATTAGGACTTGTTAAACAACAATCCCACCTTAAACTGCAAAAACTCTAAGAATAAATGTTGGTCAAATTGTCTTACTGCTTTTTGTATTGCTGGAATTGGTCCAGTACCCATGATGGATGGGTCAACACCTGCCTGTGCCCAGGATACCACACGTGCTAGCACCCTATGACCTCGCTTCTCTGCGGCTCTTTCAGACATCATTACGACCACAGCTGCTCCATCGTTGATGCCTGTCAATCAATTGTATTTATGGTATTATCAAAAATTCAGTGTTGTGCAATGGTGCTAAGAGGTGCCCATCAAAATACATATTTAGGTTGAGTAAAATGTTAAAGGTTTTCATAGTTTCAAGACTTGTCTAATTATCATAACGATAGCACATTCCCCTAACTTAGAAGTCCAAATGTCAATCTAGTTTCAGTAGTACTTAAATTTTATACATTTTAATTATTCTTTCAGAGTGATGCAACCTGTGTAAATACTTCATATTTAGTTTGTCTCAAGGACAAACCAGAATTTAAAAGCAGGGGGACATACAGTAGGGGACAGCGATGCAGTTGCTGAATTTAAATTATTATAGAACAATGAGCATTATCACCCTGTTGAAGCTGGTAACAATATAAATATTCTTGTTGGCTATTTACCTGAGGCGTTGCCAGCTGTGACTGTACCTGAACCGTCCTTCACAAATGCTGGTTTCAATTTACTAAAGCCCTCTAGAGTACAACCTGGTCTTGGGAATTCATCTTTACTTACTTCAATATCACCTTAAAATATTTTAAAATGCATAAACATTAACTATCTCTTCAAAATCTCCATCAAAAAATGCACAAAAAATTTATTAATTATTAATAAATATTAAGAACAATTCTAAAAATTCATTGTCAAATCTTTGAAGCTTGATAGCCATACCCTTTAGAAACGTTTTGTGTGAAGTTTACACTTTGTCATTAGAATAACTTTAGTGACAATGTTAGTACTGGGGGAGCATGCATTCATTCTTGTTATTTCTTAATGTAAATAAAAACCTGATCTGTATTCTGTGATTGGCAGATATATTATGTCCCCATTAATTTGGCTGATTGTTACATGAATGTACAAATGTACAAAAAATAATTTGATAATTGAGGGCCCACTGGCATCAGTGGGAGGAACAAAACTGAACTGCATATTTGCACAAGGAACAGTTAATTAGACAGAGGGGGCACTGTTTACCAACCTTTCCTTGAGCTTATCGTGACCTTTGTGATCTCCTCATTGAAATAGCCACTGTTCTGAGCTGTTTCAGCCTTCAGTTGTGAGTTTAGGGCAAACTGATCCTGTTCCTGCCGACTGATATTCCACTTCTGAGCAACGTTCTCAGCTGGAAAAAAGTTGAGAAAAGAATGCTAAAATGATATACAATAGTAAGAACAGTGGTGGGGCCAGGACTTGCCTGACGGGAGGTCTGATGTCCCTGATGGTGGGCTGGTGTCCCTAATAAAAAGCTGATTTCACCCGACGAGAGCACGAGTGAGTTGTGAGGGGGAGTAATGTGCTATTATTATCATTATTATTATTTTATTTAGTAGCCACTATACCTGTTATTCCCATGTGGTAAGTGTGGAAGGCATCAATCAACCCATCACTTAGAAGAGTGTCTTTTAAGGCAACATCACCAAACTTGGTACCGTTCCTCATATGAACAGCATGCATAGCCTAGAATGTAACAAAATATTACTAAAATTTAGTTATTCACAAAATATCATTTGATTTGTTCCTTGACATTACTCTGTCATTAGTAAACTATAGCAAAATGAATGCCTTTTCAAGCTTACTGTACTAACAAGTTGTATTTGTAGTTACAACCAAGGAGGTATAATATCTCCTTGGTACAACTTCTATCTACTGCACCTTATGCAGCTCACATGGATTTATCACCAACATCACCACAGAACCAAATGTCAATATCAAGGACCTGTCACTTGGTGGTTAACTTGTTGCAAATTCTCAGGTTCAAAACCACAGAATATATTTCTCCAGTGGGCAGAGAAATAAGCCCTCGCTCTCCGGTACCAACCAAAAAAACCTCTACCAAGAGTGAAATCATGTAGATTAAAGTAATATGTCTAAAACACCAGAGCTTTCAGGGGGCGTATTCGCTGGACCTTTCAATAAACACTTTGGCGTTTTGCGCTCCCTGCCAAACATGTTGGATGTGCCCCTGTTCTTGATCAAACCTATTAATACCTCTACTCATGAGGTCTCAGAAAAGGGATTTTTAGTAAAAAATATGATTTTTTTAAACATATTTTAGCTTAATGATCATGGGAAATGTTTTTGGATGAATATCGTTTACCTGGCTCATACTCTCCTGCCCGCCAGCAACAACAATTTCAGCATCGTTGCAACAAATAGCCTGCACACCTAGGACAACAGCCCTTAAGCCAGAACCACACACCATGCTGACCCCACATGCTGGTACACCATCTGGCAGCCCTGCCCCTTTGCTTGCTTGACGGGCTGGGTTCTGTCCTTGACCGCCTGTCAACACTTGGCCCATGATAACCTCAGAAACTTCATCTTCTCGGACTGCAGCCTTTCTTAGAGCATCTTTGATTGCAATACTGCCAATCTTGTGTCCAGCTAAACTTGAAAGGGCTCCATTCAGGTTACCTGGGAATGAAGTAAAAATGGGTGTGAGGCCATGAAAAAATTTATATTTTAAAAAAAAAATGTTATTTGCACAAACAAAGGCACCTCATCATACAAATGCAAAAGTACAAAACAAATCAATAAAATGATGGTTTGGTTGATCTGAGGTCAGGGAAGGGGTGGATGATGTCATTTATTATTAGTTTGAGCTGTTCGCTACAGTCCGCTAGAAAAATTAGGCACTACAGTTCTTAGAACTCATGCCTCATGAGGACGTTCCCAGTCTGTAGGCATAAAAGTTTAATTCTACAAAGCAATGGCATATCTAGGGGTGTGTGGGGATTTGTGCCACCTCAGTCCCTGCTATAGGCCCCTCCCCCTCTGGCGCCACCACTGCTCAGTCCCCCTCCCCACCTCACGCTCAAGTAGTTAAAATTACCTCATATCGCCTTATTTTGCAACCTAACTCCCCCTCACTTAATCATCGAGTCCCTGCACTCCACCATCACACCCCTATCATCCCCCTATTTCAAGACTTTTAGATATGCCACTGCTATAAAGTCAAGAAGAATACCTAGCTTATATCTAATAGTTATGAAAATTATATGATGAGAACAAAGGTTTTGAAATGTAATTTGCATAAGTAATATTTTAAAAAGCTGCAAATGTTAAACAAAAAATATTTTGGATGCAAATCTTATGATTTTCATTCCTGTAGTTACATTATTATATACCTGCATAATATGCTCAATATTATTATCATAGAATAGGCCCTGGTATTGTCTCTACTGTACCAGCATCTAAGCTCGGATAAAAATGATGGTACAGTAATCACTTATTCTTTTCATATTCAAACTGATACATTTTGCATTAAAATGTAGGATAAATATGTAATTACACAATATGATGCTGGCCTGATAAATCGTTTAATCAATGTCAGCAAACGGGTTGGAAAGTTGTTCTTCCTCTAGAAGATAGTTTTCTCTTTGTCGGGATGTAGAAGAGCTCAGCATCCCTGCCCATCGATCTCCCATCGTCTCACTCCGTCTGCTGCGCACCGCCACCTGATGGGTTCACAACAATCGGGTGTCTGTTTGCAACGTCATCGATACAGCGTGCAAATAAATACCAGGGCCCAGGCAGGTGCCCCACACAACTTACCCTACAAGGCTGCAGCAACTCATTATAAAGGTATCTAATGTAAATAAAATGGGCGGCCATAAAATGTAGGTAGACAAAGTAGGGCTACTGACTTGTTAGGCTCAATGGGCAGGCTGCACTGCTGGTGGTGGTGATGGCGAAGTCGGGTGGACGAAGATTATCCGTTTCATGTTCAGGTGGCTTAAACATACCCTGGTTCAAACGACGAACAAATCACTGTTTAAATATAAAAAAATCGAAACTAACCTATAGCATACCTATTGGTGTTCGTACTGCTGAAACTATTACAACCTGCTCGCTCATGATGACTGAAAGACCTGGTAATATTAGGTATCTAGGCCTAGGTCTGAATTAGTCTTTTGCCTGCCTAGCTGGGTACTGCGCGGCGTTTCAGCTGCCGTGTGCCGCGCCGTGTGGTATATGCCGACCTCTCTACTGATAAAATGACCTAACTTTTCTTGTTTCTAATTGGTCGGGAAAGGAGGCTGGTTGGAGGCGTGGCAGCAACGCATAATAACAGGCCTTTCTCGGTTTTTCATGCAAATACCACTATTTGTTTGCGTAAAAATATATATATGGCCCTCGTTTTGATTTGTTTAGAATTGAATTTAGGAAGCAATGAATGATTTTGGGAATTACTACTATAAAACAATAAGGGCCACTGTAACATCAATCTGTATCATGGAGTTTAACCGGTATTAAATCACTTAAACTACTATAGAATCCAAGCGTATTTTTAATTTATTTTGTTGCTTTAAAATGCATACAGCTGAGTGTATGTACTGTACTATGTCGGAAAAAAGCCCATGCTGTCGTGAAAAAAAAGCCGAATGGCTTCCTTTTGAGGCAAACTAACCGGGGCCTTTAATTCGAGATGGGCTTCTTCTCGAGATTAAGTTTTTCCGGTATTTGGCTACCAATGACTAGTGTGCCTAGCATGGTATTAGGGCTTCAAGTCACACAAAGCTAACATTCATTCATTCATTTAATACTTAATTTATTTTAGAATATCATTTCCATAACCGCATATTTACTGTGATAAACATAACGAATGTATCATCATTCAGATTATGCTTTCTATGTTTTTGCTCTCATGTATTGTAATAATGATAACAATATCGAAACTAATATGGCCTATCCACACACTGTACTGAGATCATACCTATGCTTTTAAAACTTTTAATTATAGCGCACACAATATTTGATGAATTCTGTAAATCTTAATTAAAAAGGGCATGGGCTACAAATTAAGTCTAACCCTGTTATTATATTTACTCATATTTTAGTATCATTAATTACATCATTATTACTACTATTTTATTATTATTATTATTATTATTATTATTATTATTATTATTATTATTATTATTATTATTATTATGTCACAGGCCTTACTATTGTTATAATTTTTATCCCTTGTAAAATCGTTAAATTATGAAGTTACTGTAGGATAGTACTATATAATGTTTTATTCATTGCATATCTGCATCATGATATAATAATGTGGTTTATTTATGTAGATAAACTATTTACGTAGGTGCGGTTCATTTAAGTAAATATTTCCTGGTGTTAATTTCCTTTTCATCTTCACTTTATTTTTCCTTTTAGTAATTAAGGATATATATATATATATATATATATATATATACTGTCTTT